AGAAGGGATGGAGTGACAATGAACTGGGCACAGTAGGATCTGTTTGACAGAGTCTCCTTTTGTATGCAGCTTTACCTGTAATGTTTTTTCCAGTGTTGCCATCATTCACCAAAATACCTTATGACATTGCAATCCGGACTGGCACCACAGCCCGCCTCGAGTGTGCTGCCACGGGCCACCCTAACCCTCAGATTGCCTGGCAGAAGGATGGAGGCACCGATTTCCCTGCAGCTCGTGAGCGACGCATGCATGTCATGCCGGATGACGATGTGTTCTTCATTACTGATGTGAAGATAGACGACATGGGGGTCTACAGCTGCACTGCCCAGAACTCGGCCGGCTCTGTTTCAGCGAACGCTACCCTGACTGTCCTAGGTTCGCTACTGACAGCGTGGCAGGGTGGGGTGGGGGTACACCTCAAGTATTATAGGAGCCTGCTTTCTGGAGTACCTCTGGTAGGCTCTTTCTACTTAGTTTGAATTTGGGGGCTGCTTTTAAGCAAGTAGTTCTGGCTTATAAAAGACAATGAGCAATGAATTCAGTCTTGATGGAACTCAGCTGTGTGTTAGTCTGAGTAAGAATTCCGTGTGTGTGTGTGTGTGTGTGTGTGTGTACGCACGTGCATGCGCATTGGCTATGATCTTGGTCAGGAATAGTGACACAGGTCTATAGCAGGACAGTTTGGGATACAGTTGGGCTTTAGTTCTTTGCCCTGTTGAAATGTTCTTAGAATAGTAATGATTTAATCATTAGGCTTTCTGAAAAGCTTGGCACTCCAATAAAACATCTTAGATAGCATTTCACTACTACATGGGATTGTCTCCTGTCTGGAAAACTAGTATACCTCCAGCAAGCAAGACCCATAGAATAAATGTGCAATCTCCACTGTCTTCCTGCAGAAACTCCATCCTTGGCAGTGCCTCTGGAAGACCGTGTGGTAACTGTAGGAGAAACAGTGGCCTTCCAGTGCAAAGCAACTGGGAGCCCCACACCACGCATCACCTGGCTTAAGGGAGGTCGTCCATTGAGTCTTACCGAGCGGCACCATTACACTCCAGGCAACCAGCTGCTGGTTGTTCAGAATGTAGTGACAGAGGATGCAGGCCGGTATACATGTGAGATGTCTAATCCCCTGGGCACTGAGCGAGCACATAGCCAACTGAGCATTCTTCCCACCCCCGGCTGCCGGAAGGATGGGACCACTGTAGGCATCTTTACCATCGCTGTGGTGTGCAGCATTGTCCTGACCTCGCTGGTGTGGGTGTGCATCATCTACCAGACCAGGAAGAAGAGTGAGGAGTACAGCGTCACTAACACAGGTCAGCAGCACCACAGACTTGAGGGGCTGCGGGACAGGTGGGCGACACTGCCACAGTGGAGGTAAATGATGCAGACCTGGGGGTTTGCCTAGAACCAAAAAGGTCTCTAGAGCATTTAGGAATATGGATTCTGCCTGTAGAGTTGAGACTTTGGTTCCCCTGACATCATGTTGCGGCAGCCCTGTTATTTTACTGTCTTGTCTCCTTGCAGATGAAACCATTGTGCCTCCAGATGTTCCAAGCTACCTCTCCTCTCAGGGAACCCTTTCTGACCGGCAGGAAACTGTGGTCAGGACTGAGGGTGGCCATCAGGCCAGTGGGCACATTGAAAGCAATGGTAAGTTCAGGAGCAGCGAAGCAGGTGATCTGGCAGCCCCAGTCCTGGAGGAAATTTCACATTCTCCACGGGGTGGTCTGGGCACCCTTGTCACATTTGGTGAACCAAGCCTTTAAGTGACAGATATTTTGCTTTGGATCTGGTGTGTGCAAGTTCTATGCTTTTAACATTTGGTCCTCCAGGAAGTCCCTGCACTGGGCTTAGCACTATGTCTTCTGGTCAAGGTAGGATTGCCAGAAAGAATATATACAAAGGACATTTCAGGCCCCCAAACCAGCCCATAGCTTTTACTATACAGTGGCACTTTACATGTAAGTCAATCAACCACAGGTTGAAAATATTTAGGAAAGAAAAACTCTATACTGACTATATATGGACATTTTACATCGTTACTGGGTACTGTGAGTAAAGGTGACTTAAGATCTATCAGAAAAGGGTACAGTTTATGTGCAGAGCATTTCACAGAAAGGACTTGAACGTCCTTGAATTTGGGCATCTCAAGGGAGCACAGGAACCAATCCCTGGTAGATGGCAAGGCGCTGGGAAAAAGCTGTGGTCTGGTGGCTATTAGGCTGCACAATCTAAGCAGCTTCTAAGTTGTAAGGACTCTGTTTCAGGTGTGTGTTTGAGAGACCCGAGCCTCTTCTCAGAGGTCGACGTTCATAGCATTACATGCAGGCAGCCCAAGCTGTGTGTTGGATATACTAGAGAGCCCTGGAAAGTGACGGAGAAAGCCGACAGGACAGCTGTCCCACATACAACAGGTAGGAGACACTCAAGTCAGGGGAAGCAGTTGCTTTAGACTCTGAAATTGGGTTGACTTCGTTAACTAGAGTAGCGAGTAGCGGCATATGACTGGTCGCACACTGTCTCTGAACTGTATTCAAATACAAACAGGATTTGGTTGGATTTCAGAGTCCTGTGTCTCTTAGGTAAGAAAGTCTATGACGTGGTGAGCTGAAGGCCGAGTGTTTTTAACATCAGGAACTTAGAAGACAAGGCCTGCCCTTGCACCAGGACTGTTGTACGGACAAGGTTTCACTGTTAGATCAGGCTGTCTTATGAGATGCTGTGGCTACCATGCCCATCCATTAGGGTGCTCTTTAGGAGGCCAGCTGACGTCCTCAGTTGCTCTCTGCCCTAGGTATTGAACAGGCTTTCTCACTTAAACCCAGGGTTTCCTGCTTCTGCTTCCCATGCCCTTGAATTAGCCGGGCCACCACACCTGCTGGGACTGGAATGCGGAACCTGTGCTCGGCAAATGCTTTCCTACTGAGCCCTGTCCCCAGCCCTGCTACCAGGACTTTTTAAGGCTTGTTGTCCAATTGTTGAGAAGCCCCCTTACTGTGGTGCCTAATGCAGTGTTCCTCTTACTCTCCCTTCCCTCATTTTCCTGTGATCAGAGTGCTTTCTAAATTTCACATGGACACTTAAGCACACACTAAGACACGGTTGGTTGAGTTCCTCTCCATGTACACATTCAAGGGAGGGACAGGGTGGCTACAATGGCAGTGGTAAACAGAACTCCAGTTGGGCCTGTGAGAGGGAATGGAGACTTCAGTTGACCTCTGATTCTCTTCTTCACTCAGCACACAGTGGTTCTGCTGTATGCAGTGACTGCAGTACTGACACAGCCAGCCAGCCCAAGGAGCAGGCCTTTCATCCCCAGCCTGTGCCCAGAGACAGTGGGCAGCCAGGCACACCAAGCAGTCAAGAGCTCAGGCAGCATGACCGAGAATGTTCTCCACACCATCCTTATAGTGGGACTGTGGATGGGTCTCATACCCTCTCTGGGGGCCCCATCTATCCGAGTAACCATGACAGAATACTGCCATCCTTGAAGAACAAGGAGGCATCTGCAGATGGGAAAGGTATGTATGGTGTCAGTGGTCTGCTGGGAGCCTTTAGGAGGTTAGGGTGCATAGGCTGATATACCTTTTTTTTTTTTTTAAACAGGAGATTCCTCTTGGACTTTAGCAAAGTTACATGAAGCAGACTGCATAGACCTAAAGCCTTCTCCTACATTAACTTCAGGCAGCCCAGAGCTCATGGAAGATGCCATATCTACTGAAGCCCAGCACTTGCTTGTTTCCAATGGCCACCTCCCCAAGGCCTGTGACTCTAACCCTGAATCTATGCCACTGAAAGGACAGATCACTGGGAAACGGAGGGGACCATTGCTATTGGCACCGAAAAGCTAGGCTTCATCTACCTCAGCTCTTTTAAAGCAGTCGCTACAGGAAAGAGGTAGGAGAGGCTGTGGGAAGTTTGTGTCCAAATGTCACTCTGGACAGTTTCAACTTCCGTGTGGAATGTCAGTCGGCTAAAGGACATGGCATCTGGAGCACAGAAATGCAAGAGACTATTTGTGTACAAAAGGCAGAAAAAGTATTTGATACCACTGTACATAAGAGTTTTCAGAGATTTCATATATATTATATATCTTTTACAGAGACTATTTTAATCCTTAGCGCATGGGTCCCGCTTTTGGTGATATTTTCACATTAGGTTGCTGTCTAATTTTGGAGAGGGTCAGGAATCGTTCTGGTGCCTTAATGCACAGTTGGAATTCAGGTAAAACGTATCAGCTGTTGCTGGTGGTTGGAAAGGAGGGCATCGTAGCTATGTGGCACTTAGGTCAGATTCGAGTGCACTGGCCAGACCTATGCAGGCATGGTGCTGACAGCCTCACAGTAGAGCAGGGTGCACGGGTCTGTAATTGAGGACGAGATTGAGGGCTGTTAATCCACCAAATGCCGTGGCTCAGAACAATTACACACTGCCCTTCGTCTTTCTTTGTAACTCACTTGGTAAAGCAAATGTCTCGTCTCCTTCAGTGGTTCTTTGAAGCTTATTAAGGTGGAGGCTGCCAGTGTTGGTACCTGTGGATTCTCAAATAGTGAGGTTTAGTTCTGCCAACACAGAATTGCAGTTGGGGAGAAAAGGAGGGAGTCTGCTTCCAGGGCCAGCTGAGTTCTGCTGAGCAGGCCTGTCCACACTCTTCCTCGCACAGTGAAACTGGGCTTGGACTGCACAAGACTTGAGTCCTAGACCTGGGTGTATTTGCACTTTGGGGCCCTGTCGCTAACCATCTTGTGAGTGCCAATGTGTAATTCAGTAAAGACTACATGGAAACAAACTCGCTCCTTAAAACTCCAGAAAGCTGAGGGGAAGCGTTGGCACAGAGATGGCCTGTGTCACTGTGTAGTGTCATAGGCCATCACTGTGGCCAGGGCAAGCACACTGAGAAGGCTATTCTCCACAGTTGGATGATTATTGTTACTTCCACAAAATATGTGAATTTGCTGCTTCTGAGAGGCAATGTGAAAGAGGAAGTATTACTCTTTATGTACAGAGTTATTTATTTATAGAAATTTTGGTACAGTGTACATTGAAAACATGTAAAATATTGAAGTGTCTAACAAATGGCATTAAAGTGTCTTTAATAAAGGTTCATTTATAAATATAAGTGTGTGTTGCGGTCATTGTCCTTCTAAGTGCAGTCATTCTGCTATTAACAATATTTCCCCAAAAGGAGAGTACTTAGACCAAGCAGCACAGGCTATACTGTTGCCCCCGAAAGACACGGTGGCACTACACTCCTCAGATGGCTCACGTTGTTTTGTTTTTTGCCACATGGAGTTGGTTAGTCAAGCCTTATGCTCCCCAGATATGCTGACCCTCCCACCTCCTACTGGCGTATACCATGAGGACAAGGGGCAGCTCCAGCTGGCCTCTAGGGAGGACGGTGTGGTCATGGGCTTTGCTTCCCTCGGCTGTGCTCCTAACTAAAGTCACTTGGGCCCACCCACTCACTGGCACTGCAGCTGTCTGATGTCTGTCACACACTCCAGGGACTTTGGGGCACTTTTCTGTAAAGTAATATAATATATTCATGTGTTTTTATAGGAGAAATACAAGGGTAATTAAAGACAGCAGCCTCCTTACCAGAAAGAATGCATGCTATGCACCTGCAGTTCATGCTTTTTAAACTAAGCTATAATCTTACACAACAGGCATTAGCCCAGGGGAGAAACACTCGCCCCTTAGCTCTTGTCCCAAGCCTCCTTCCTTTTCCCAGTCTGCTCACTCACTCCCAATCGTAGCCAGCTTGCTTTTCTGGTGACTCCAATAGAGAGCAGAAAGTGAAGGATGCTAATCAAAACAATTCTGAAGGGCCTGGTCTCAGCCTTTCCAAGAGTATTTATTGAGAGGACTGAGATTTTGGGTCAGAGTTGCACCAACGATACTTTCCCGGGGACAGCCTGGGCTGCGGCCTTCGTTAAGCTGCTCTCTGCAGGCATCTTCAGGGATCCACACTGTAGCACCAGTCATGGGAAGGCAGGGACTGCACAGCAGTCCTCCAGGGACATGTACTGTCTGCTTCACGGGCTCTTCCTGCCCACCTCTAACAGCAAGCTTCGGGTCTGGTCATAGGCACCCAGAAAGATAAAGCCTCCCATGCTGATTGCTGCCATTCTCGGAAAGACACCTGCAAATAACCTAGGGACAGGAAATGGTTATATGCCGGACTGCCCAGAGTCTGCTCATCTCAATTCATCCACTTGTGAAACCCCACAGAAACTTAGTTTGGAAAGCCACTAAGTAGCACTCCTACGTGTGCAGGAGAAACTGGAGCTCAGCCTAGCATGGCTTCACTATCTGGGCAAACTCCTGTTAACACAGTGACCACTCTCCCAACAGTGTGCTCTAATAAAAGGGTCAAGGATGCATCTGAGGTGAGGCTGGTGAGGGTGTGTGGCAATGGGACACCTGAGGGGCCTCTAGGTCTCAGTTCAGGGAGACAAAGCTAATTCTTAAACAGTTCTGCTTGCTTGTCCTGGGGCTCAGTCATATTTTGTTGTTGAGTTCCACAAATGTGATTCTATAGGAAGGAAATGAATCTTTGTGGATTAATTTTTTCTAGATAAGGACACCAGAGTCACATAACTGGTCTTCACCAGTGCAGCACCTCACAGTGTCAGTTCTAGACTCTCAGGTGTCCCATCCCTAATCCAGTCAGAACCACTGTGGTGTCAGGAAGCCATTCTCCAGATGCACTGGAAGTTTTCAAATATCTATTGTGACATTATGAAGTAATCTACTAAGGACCTCACCTGGCTAGTCAAGAGAGCACTGTGAAGACAGTGTAGCACACAGCTGGGGAGAACAAGACAGAAGCAGTCCCAACCATAAAAGGTTACATGTCCTCGCAACCGCTGGGCTGGTGAGCACAGGGCATGTCCTAGGCTGTAAATTACTGCCTTCTATAGAGGCAGTGGGGGTGGGAGAGTGACAGACAGAAACCCTGATCTTATTTTTACTGAAACCCTATTACCCAGAAAAGTGTTTCTGTATGCAGAAAGACAAACTTAGAAAACTAGAACTTGGGCTGCCTCAGGGAAAAGGCACTTGCAGCCAAGACTGATGACCCAAGTTCGATCCCTGGAGAAGGGAAAAACCAGTTATCACAGGTAGTTTGATGTCCATGTGTGTGCACTAGTGGAGAGATTTTGGGTGTAGGGCAAGTGTTTTATTATGACAACACTTGTGCCTTTTAAAGATGTGGGAAAGCCTTTGTGCTAAGTGGAGGCTAATTAAGAAAGCTGACACAAGTCCCTGCTGGATACACAGCCCCCACACCCTACATAACCAGTGGGAGAGCTCAGCTGCCCCTCCCACAGAGGAAAGCAAGGACTTTACATAATGGGACCTTTTACTAAGCTGTTTAGGGAGCTAGAGAGATGGCTTAGAGGGTAAAGGGCACACATGAGGACCTGAGCACAGATGTCTAGAAACCGCGTGAAGCTGCGTGTGGCAGCCCTCTGCGGTAACCCTAGTGCTCCTACGTGACGTCCCACAGGTCAGCTAGCCTGGGACAGGAAGTGGCAAACAAGACACCTATCCTATAAAAAAAGTGCTAGAAGGGAGGCCTGGAGATAACTGAGCTGCAGGAGACCACTAGCCATGAGCATCCACCTGCTTCTAGGTCAATCTCACTTACCTTTTGCCACTAACAAGCTCAGCAGAGGCCAGAGACAGATAGGGCCAGTTACAGTGTCACTAGGTGACCAATGGACCATGGCCTCCTTAAAGGAGAGTTTTTGTAGGGGAGAGAGGTTCCACCAATGCTCGCAGACAGACTTGTGAGTAGGGCAGGGTGTGTTCCAGGGACAACAGGGGACAGGATAGGCAGGTGGTCAGAGCAGGAGCTCCCAGGAGCAGTGAGGACATGAAGGGCATATTCAAGAAAAAAATTCAGGGAATCGGCAAGGAACAGGGCAATCTAGAACAAGTGGACCTCTCATGGGTAACCAGTGTGTCCTTCAGCATGGCTCCCCCCAGTCTCCTCTGAGACGGCATCAGGCTCCTTGGTGATAGGGGCTGCTGGGAGGTGTGTGTGCAGGGCAGGGGCACAGACAGTGGTGGCTCTATATGGCACTGCCACAGAGGAAGTGGGCTGAGCCACCTGCCCAGAAAGGGGCCAGTCGTTTTCATTTGTTTCTTGGTGCAATCATTTGCCACATAGCGGGGCTGGAGCTGCTATAAGTTCAGCCGCATCCACCGCTGCCCGGAACATGCTGTTCAGTGCTGCCCTGTACAATGTGACCAGAGTCCAAGACTGGAGACTCAGAAGATGAGCCAAAAACCCAAATTACCTTTCAGCACTAAGGCTGGGTCAGAACAAACATACACTCTTAGCCTGTTCTGCTTTCTCTCCTCCAGCACTGCTTAGCTTTAGTCGTGTGTGCCATGACCTGGGCAGGAAAGGCTCTTCGTGTGTCATCTACACAGCAGTGTGCAGTGGCCATGGCGGGGCACTGCCCTGTCCAGCATGTCCTTTCTTGTCACCAACACTAGCAAATGAGCCGCAGCCCCACAATACCACAGTCAGACGCTCAGCTGAGTCACCACAGAATCTGGCAGCTGACCTATATGATGCCAAAAGCCACTGTTAGCAGCTGCTGCCCAGTCACTGCGTACCTAGGAGGCTTCCTAAATAATGCACATGGGGCCCACAGCCCATGTCCCCTCCTCACTCCATCTCTTTGTTCATCGTCAAATTAGCATCCAAATTAATGACTAACATGTTCTTATTCCTCACTCCAGACGCTAGCAGCAGGCCTTTCCTATGTTCTGACATATCAAGAGTCTGTAAGCCCTGTCTGTCAGATCCAATCTGTATCTCAGACCATCAAAAACGGTGTTCAATGAAGACACCCAGCCACCACTTACAAATCCAGCTGGAAAACTCAAACAGACATGGAGTTTGCTCTCTGGCAAAAGCCTCACCATGTTTACCAGACCATTGGACAGCTGACATTTAAGATGCCAAAGTTACACAAAAATGGAATCAGTGATGCACTCTAGCATGGGGATAAGGTGGGCGGCAGTGCCAGGTGAAGAGGCTAAGACCACGAGGGCTCAGGGCAGCACTGAGCTGCTGCTCCCAACGTCGGCCATCCCAGCGCCAGGCTCACCCTCCTGCCCTCCAGAGGGAGGCTGCTCGTGTGCTCAGTACCACATGTCAAGACGGTTTCATAGAGCAAACCCTTCCGCTTTTCTAACTACTCAACGGAGACGCAGCTCCAGCACCACTGTATGGTGAATCGGTGCAGGGACAGCTGGTCAGGACATAAAACGAGACATTTTGAGGCACATGGTGCTGGAGCGATGGTTCACTAAAGTGCTTGCTAGGCAAGCTTGACCGAAGCTCAGATCCTCAGCATCACATAAAAGCCAGGGGCTATGGTCCTCACTTGTAACCCAGCAAACAGGGAAGGGAACAAGTAGGTCCTCGGGACTCACTGGACAGCTACTATAGCCAAAATGGTGAGCTCCAGGTTCAGTAAGGGACTGTTCCAAGTGTGACTGAGGAAGACACCCAACCACAACCTCTGTCCTCTACAGGTACACTCGTGGGCAAACACACCCATCTGCATACCATATGCAAAAAAAAAATGTGAGGCGCTTACCTAGCCACAGAGCAGTGATGGCCACCTGAAGCTGAGCACTGTGGAGCAGACAGCGCAGTGATGAGCTGGAGAACGCTTTAGAGAAAAACAGAGTGCATCTACTCTGCTGGCCTGTAAGATGACGGTGCATCTGAAAACCAGCCCCCACGATCTCTATTTGTGTATCTCCAAATATACAAATATTTGCTGCTCTTACAACTGCCCATAATCTTCTGGGTAGTCACATGCTGTACTTGCAGCTAGAAGCCATATTCTGCAGGTATGTAGGTGACACCATCTACATTTGTGTGAGCACATGATGTTTTCAGTGACAAAATCACCCACCAATAAAACAACACCTATGAGGCAGAGCACAGGCCCATCACTGGGCACGGCTGCCGATGGTTCCAAGAGTGCTTTCCCAAGCCCCAAACACTTTAACTCACTTGCATTCTACGCTGTGTAAGTGGGAGCTTATTTGTATCGATGTTGCAGCCAAAATACTGACACATATTTGCATGTCATCCAGTGTCAAGAAGGACAAGACCAAGAACTATGTGGCTAGAAGGCTATGTCACTGACTGTGCATTGTCATCTTACATATGCAGCATAAGAAAAAGAAAAGGAAAAGACGAAGTGTTCATCCATGGCAGGCACAAAGACTTGAGGAAGAGCCAGTGGAGAAGAGGAAGGCAGCCGAAGGCTCACTTTGTCCTTACCCCGCTAGTCCCTGTGAGCGCCACACCCCGTGCATGGCTGAGAGCACATTCCCAACAGCAGTGCTGGACCCCGCCTAGGGAAGACAAAGAAGGGAGAGAGTTGTTACCTCCTGGTTCTCTGAGCAGACTCCCCTCACCCTCATCCAAGGCTTGCCCAAAGGTTGGCTTGGAAATCTCGCCTACATTCAGATGTGCAGACAAATACTTAGGGGTGGGGGAGCTGCTTCTCACAGTTCACCTAGAAACTAATGGCAACTAGCCCGATGGAGGTGAGGATTCTACAACTGCAAGGGTCTGTCTCTGAAGCCTGACAGTGAATGGAGAGTGCACTTTCAGTTTTAAAATGACCCCACCCTCTGGATTGGTCCTCTGAGTTCTACAGCGCTGCACTTTGAGAGTATGCTTGGTCCAGGTATGTTACTGGAATTTCTTAAAGCTCAGCCCAGAATTTGTTTTGTTGTTTGGTTTTCTTTTTAACAATTTGGACAACTGTCTTAACCGGTCAGATAACCATGACCTGAGTTCTGAATCTGCGGATTAGCTTCCTCAGAACATGAAGCTCATCAGCCTCTCTCAAGTCCTAGATCTGAAAACAGCAACACCAAGCTGAGGCCCTCAGACGTGCTGTTCCCACAGCACAGCTTGAGAAATGGAAACGTGCTATACACAGATCCATCACAGTGACAGCTGCTGACATGCGGCGGCGATGACAGAGCCACTCTTCCAAAGTCAGGGTTATTAATGGTCCGGCAGGTTCTCTGAGCCTTACGACTTCCCCTGCTAACAGATATGGCATAGAAGCTGCATTATCTGCTACTTACCTTTGCCAACATGATCCGTGTCTTAGCCACGTCCAGAGGTGTAGTGACTGCAGCTGCAAAGCCACCTGTGTGTGAGACCCACCAGTCAGTGAGATGTCCATATTAGACAGTTACTGGCACTTCTACAGTTGAATACACATAGCTGTCAAAATAATTTGCCATCATGTCTACTTGACTGTGTTGAGAATAGGGTACACACGAACATGTTCCTCTCCCTACTTCACATCTTCTGCAGTACTGGAGCAAGAAGGTGAAGACTCACTTGAGTTAAGGAGTGAGGCCCTACACCTCACCTTGCTCTCACACTGCCTGGTACACTAATCCAAAAGTGTATATAACAAATGTCAATGGCCACATGTGGATTTTCAGTGAGAGAAGCACACGACTCTGGGCTTTGGGAATCACACCTTTCTGCAGGCTACCTGTCTTATATTCACCAGAAAGATTTGGTTGCTTCTGTTCTTGATGAGGCAGATAGGCAAGCTCCTGTGTGTCACAGGGGACTTCTGTATAAATAGTCAGACTCTTCATGATACAAGACAATGTTTTCTTTCTTTCCCAGGCTCTGGATAACAGTCCAGAAAAAGACTATACTTCTGCCCTCTCTGCATCACCTTAGAACCCTCTTGCCTTGGCATGCATTCAGCCTCTACACTCTGTTTCCCTCATCTAATTTCTGTCATGTCAAACTGTTTATAGATTTTAACAGTGTTCTTATCTGTGGGCACAGAAACCAAAACTCATTGCTAATGTAAACTACAGTTTATGGTCTTGCGTGGTTTTATTTGCTTAAGACTATGTACTTGGAGCTAGCCTGAAAATTGCTATGTAGATCAGGCTGGTCTCGAACCCACAGAACTAGCTTTCATCTCCTTGTCCTGGGATTAAAGGCATGCGACACCGCCATACCAGGCTTAATGTCAATATTTTATTCACTTGGTACAACAATGCATTTGAAACCCTGAAAGGGGCTGGTCAGATGGCTCAGTGGATAAGAGCACCAACTGCTCTTCAGGAGGTCATAAGTTCAAATCCCAGCAACCACATGGTGGTTCACAACAATCTGAAATGAGATCTGATGCCCTCATATGGGTGTTTGAAGACAGCTACAGTGTACTTTGGGCCAGAGAGATGGAGAAATAAAACTCCCTAAAGGGCTTTCAGGAGGTTCAACTCCTGAGAGTTAGTGATGAACAGCTGTTATGTTAGGGGTGTGTGTGCACAGAAGGCTCCAGAAATAGCTCCAGGCGCCCTCTGCTGTGGTGTATGAACAAAAATGGCATTTGACCTCTGACAAATATCTTTCTAAATACAGGGCTGAAATGAAGTTGTTACAGTGACCCTGGATGCGGTGACATCTGTTCTGACAGTTGTGGGAAGGCCCGCCCACTCCTTGTTTGTATTCTATTCTCAGTTACAACTGCCATACACCTTGGGCTTGTCAGTGGCCCCTTTGTCTAGAACCTTTTGTCCTTTTAGACTGAGTTTGTGGGACAACGAGATGGCTTGCAAGTTAAGAGCATTTGCCATGAGCCTGATGCGCCAAGTACAACCACTGAAAGCCACATGGAGGAAGGGAGCTGACCCTTCAATTGCCCTGATTCCCCATGCTTCCATGGCATGCACACGCCTTCACCCCCACCCACCACACACTAAACAGACAGACCTTAAACCATTCAGAAAGGCTCTGCTCAGTGTAGAGCTCAGAGCTGCTCTTAAGCTTGGCCAGCTCCAGCACTTTCGGCCCTGGTCCCTGAGGCCTCAGATACTCATCTATAAAGTGCAGGCTACTGAGGGGCAGATTCTCATTATTAAAGAGTCCCTGAAGTGTCTAGAAGAGGAATAATCCAGAGAAGTGCTATTAGGTAGGACCTCCAGTCTAGGCGGTCCCTTTGAGCTCTTTGCTAACTTGATGCAAGCTGGAATCATCTGGAGCATCACTTGAGGAGTTGCCTGTCTCCACTGGCCTGTAAGCAAGTCTGATTCATGTGAGGGCCCAGCCTACTGTGGGCAGTGCCACCTCGACAGGTGGTCCTAGGATATATGACAAAGCAGTCTGAGCAAGGCATGGTGGGCGAGCCCATATGGAATGTCCCTCCGTGGTCTCTGCTCTGTCCCTGCTTTGAGTTCCAGTTCTGACGTCAGGAAAAGCTACAAGCTGAAATAAATCCTTTCTTCTCGTGTTGATTTTTAGTGTTTATCATAGCAACAGGAAGCAAGCTAAGACATGGGTAGAGAGAATGGGTGACTTTTTTTCTTCCTATCTCTAATCTAATGCATACAGTAGGCACTCAATATGCTTAGTGGGTGCCCCAGACAAGTCTATGCTTTTTACAAACTAAGCATGTAAGGTGACCCTGTAAAAGGCAGGGACAGGCTGCCATGAGTGCCACCCTTGCTTACCTGCCAGGCTCTTCAGATGGATGCCACCACCATCACCAGTATCCACTACTGCCACACAGCAGCTGTGTGGAGCTGGGAACCAGGCTGCATATATCCTAGCCCTTAAAATGATCTTGCGACACCCAAGGACACTGATACAACACATTAAAATAAGTCTGAATATTAAACTTTATTCTTTTATGTAAAAATATTCACAAGCTGCCCTAAATCAATTTATAAAGCTGAAAAGTACCATTTAATAAATTTGGTTAGCTCCAGTTGAACTTGCCCTGGCCACCGGCAGAGGTTAACCATCCTTTCCTGTGGACACCTGCATATTCTCCAGAGATGTGTGTTCCATGAAAGTAGTGTGGAAGAAAGATGAACTCAAAACATACATGCTTTGATAGGCCCTGATTTTACTACCATGCTGGGATCTAGACTTTATGTAAGGCATTAATAAATCAATTTGAAGGCCCTCAAATACTGGGCTACTTTAACTCACACGGTGTATAGCTTTGTATTTTTAACGTTTAGATAAAACATAGTATTTTGTATAGTCTACTTACAGGACAGAAGTAAGGAACAAACAAGAATGGAAACAACCATTAGGCACAGCAAAGACAGACTGTCCTCATGTGAACCAATCTCCTAGGGTGTTTTACTGAATGTTAAGCTACACCTTTCTGGGCCATATTCACTGCTCTGATTTTCACAGAAAAACTACTTGCTGTCTTGGGAACAAATGCCCTCTGACAGGCAAAGGAACCTTTTTCTTTCTGACAGCCTGGGGCTATCGCCTCTGAGCAGAAGCCAGGAATGTTGAGGAGGGCAGTGTGGAGGAGGCCCAAGCCCACCCCCCCACCCCCCAACCCCCCACCCCCCACCGGCAGCCCTGCCACTCTCTGCTCCTGGATCCTCTTAGCTGATGCATTCAGGAACAAGACCTCCTTCCTGTACCCCTCGCTCAGTCTCCAAGCACAGCTCCACAGTGTGGCTGTGTGTTCCAGCCTGTGCCAGCCTCTCACCTTTGTCACACACTGAATCCTGTATTCCGTGCTACAACGCCAGGATGAGAGAGCCGCCTCTCACTCATACCTTCTCTCAAGAGAATGTAAGGAAGTTTCTACTATAAGAAACTGATCAAGAGATACTTGAATGCAAAAATGGTAGCAAATGTATCGATACTCAACATCACTACATTTTAAGAGTCTAGGCCTGGAGTGAGAAGCTGGCAAGGTCTTTCTTTTTCCTTACTTTAACCCTGACCAAAAGCCAGGGGAATGTCTAAGCATGACAAGCCATCAACACCTCCGATCTGAAGAGACATTTTGGGTATTTGTGCCAAGTAGTTTATGAAACAAGCAGGAGCACGGAGCACGCCGAGGATGGCACGGAGCACCGTCCTTGGCAGTGACCGGCAGTGTAAACTTGGAAAAGCACATAGGAAGAAGAACTCTGACCTGACTGTGGGCGAGTTTGATCATGAAGAGAAGGGAGTCCATAAGGCAGTGTGTGGGTGTGTGGACAGGACTGTGGGTAGGAGGCCATTCTTCATCTCCCCAGCGGTGCAGGACAGTGCTGCAATCCGCCCACTCTTGCAGAACTGCAATTACTCAATGTGGACTGTTTTCAAATTACCTTTATCCTGCAGCAATGTCTTCAAAATACTCATCGTATTTCTCTAGACTAACATTTATATCAAATAACCCCCCAAATAAACAAAAATGTATTTCTTTTGTGCTAATGTATAAAGATCAGTTAACAATGTACTTTTCCCACGTAGGTCTTTAACTCCTTTGTTTGGCAGAATCTCATCTGAAAACAGTGAGATGGCTGGAGAGAACATTTTCAGGCTCAAATAGGAAACTACACTGCGCAGTGACTCCAGATCATGACATCTTCCAGGGCCATCCAAGAGAGGACAGCTTTCCGTCTGGGAGGTGGGGGGGTGTTGCTTTTTCTTGCTGGAAGAGTGATGACTCCTCACAGCTGTTCAGGTTTACAGATCACCAAGGGCCAACACACACATTATATCACTGGACCCTGAGGGAGGAGTGGTTATTGCCATGCTACGGATCAGCGAACTGGTGCTCAGGGAGCCCAACGTCTTCTCCAAGAAGACTCAGCCACTTGTCAGACAGACAGCCCAGCCTAGGTTCCAGACACTGCATCCCGGCCCAGCCTCACAGCAGCCTTACTAAACCACCTCTTTCCTCCTACCCTAGAGCTAGCGTGACAGAAACTGTCCTCTTGTGACAGATGTTCCACGCAGAGCATTCCTCAGCAAAGAGGACTCCATGAAAGCCATTTCCCAAACACACAGTGTCAATGTATCTGCACATAAATCTCTGAATTCATGGTTTGGGGCTATCTCAGATTATTTGTATTCCTTACTTGAAGATGGAGAAGTTTTAGAGCAGTCATTTTCAATCTAGGGGTCGAATGACCCTTCACAGGGGTCACCTAAGACCATCAGAAAACCACAGATATCCACATTATATTCATAACAGTAGAAAAATTACAATTACAAAGTAGCAACAAGCTGGGTGGTGGTGGCGCACGCCTTTGATCCCAGCACTTGGGAGGCAGAGGCAGGCGGATTTCTGAGTTCGAGGCCAGCCTGGTCTACAGAGTGAGTTCCAGGACAGCCAGGGCTATACAGAGAAACCCTGTCTGGAAAAAAACAAAAAGAAAAAAAAAAACAAACAAAAAAAAATAAAGTAGCAACAAAAACAGTTTATGGTGTGTGGGGGGGGACTGGTCATCATGGCATGAGAAACTGTAATAAAGGGTCACAGCATGAGGCAGGCTGAGAAACACTGTTTTAAAAGTGTTCAACTCTAAGAAGTGGCTTTTCTTGTCCATGCTTACTTGGTGTTCTGCACCCAACACCACCCCCACCATCTGCTGGTTTCTTGCCCAATTCAAGAAGAAAGACAACAAAAATAAACTTCTCTAAAGGGCTAGGTATCAAAGAACCCTAGCCTCTGGAAAATGAATCAAGACCACCTCCTCCTTTGACCCGGAACAGACGGCTTGGGTATGGGAGCCATTACCTCCCATCTGCATGCGCTGATACCCCACCTCCAGGAAGAATTCTTAGTTTTGGCAATTAATTCCACAACTTAAATAGATTTAAATTGTTAACAAAGGAGCTCTTAAAATGTATGATTTCTACTGTCCTAATCACTACATGTAAGTAAAATCCAACAACTAATATAGAATTTGGAAAAAAATCATTTTCTCCTAAAGCTGCTGATCTTCCAACCTACCTGCCCATCCGATCACCAGCATTGCATCTAAACACCTTACAATTCTCTGGCCAAGTTCCACTTTGCTTTACTGCAACTACAGCTACCTGTATTTGTAACGACAAAAGAGATCTTTCTCTTAGGGTCTGAGCTTACCACTTACTACATTCTTTAAAGCACCTGTGTTCTCGGGACTTAATAAGATACGGCATGACACTGCACACTGAACTCGCTCTTGCTTTAATGTCTCCAAAATGCCCAGATATTCATAAGGCTGTACTTCCTGCCCAGTGCAGTTCAGCCTGCAGGAAGCTGTAGAGTAGCCCCTGCTCTCCCGACAGTAATTAATCTCCTGCACTGTCAAACATGTCACATGGGCGGTGAATCTCGGATCACCCGCAACACCGCTCCCAGCAGACAGCTGTGCAGCACACCCCACTCCCACCGAGGGCTTTATAAATTATCCTTAAGATAATCCAAGGGCCCGAGTGAGGCTTTAATAAAGATAAAAAGAAAAAGGGAAATTTGTCAAAGACAAATTGGTTGTCATTCAAGCAGACACCTCTTTAGGGGTTTTTTTCCCCTCTAAGACAATCTTTCTGTAAATAGCTGGTGAAGCTGCCTTCGTCTAAACAATCTGGAATTCCTGAAGAATGCTGTTTTGCACTGCTTGCGTTTCCACATTCTCTCCCCCGCCCTTCGGTCTTTCCCAGTACAATATAATCCCTTGCACCTGCAAAAGCTCCGCAGACTGCTGACTGCCAAGAATCCACCACATGACCCCGCCGCCACGACCAGAGGGCCTGTGTGGAAGGAGAAAGAAAAATACAAGTTATTCCATCTTGGAGTTTATCGGAACCTGCTGTGATTTAGCTTGGGGTGGGAACTGAAGTGAGAATCTATTTTGGAAGCATTCTTCAGTGGTGACATAAGCGACTTTCCCAAGGACTTCGCTGGACTCTAACATTAGTCACAGAAGAACAGGCGGCAGCTACACTATGGTTCTCAAAGGAAGTATTTTCAAGGAAGATTTCATATGCACAAAGTAAAATAAAGAAAATAAATTTATGACAATGAAATATTTTGCATATTTCTCAAATAACTTTAAGCATATAAATACAATAATTTATAATTATTCCAGAAAAATATATATCATCTTCCTTAGTTCTTCTAAAACTCTTTATCCATAGCCCACCTTTGAAAGATACTAGCTGTTGCCTGAGTGGTACTGTAACTGAAGGGGGCGGAACAAGTTTTGAGACAGGGTCTAATGATAGTCCAGGCTACCCCCAAACTCAGGATCATCCTACCTCAGACTCCTAGTGCTAGGATTAAAGGTGTAGGCCACCATGTCCAGCATTAATTTAAATTGATGTCAAAAGTATCCCCTCTCCAGGAAAAAGACATCAGGACGGGTATGGCCCTCATGCCTCACTGGACAACTACAGGGGGACTGGAGCCATTACAAGGTCCCCTTCAAATACTGGAGGTCAGGCCTCTATCCCCGCCTTCGCAAGTTTAGAATTGCCACAGCCCTTCTATACTTAGAGAAGGGAGGAGATGTCAGGGGCAGCCCTGCTTATACACTGAAGGCCTAAAATCAGCCATAGGCCTAAAATCAGCAATAGGCCTGTCATACATGTATACTAACACCAAGTCTTGGGTCTCAGTGGAAAAAGATTGAAACAGATGGCTATAAGCTAATGTCAACAGGCAGCTTTTGTGGAAATTTATAAGCCTGAGTAGTCATAGACCTTGTAAATAGGTAGCCTTGGCAGACAATACCAACTTAGATAAGGACAAGCGAGTCATAGGCAGAGTCACAGTGACCTGTCCCCTGAACCTTCACCCAGCCGATACCCGGTTCTGAAGATATCTGTATTCCCCCTTAACACCCACACTCCAGTGTCATTCCCTTCCCCACATCCTGCCTTTCTGTGTTTATAGCCCGTGTGAATGAATTATGATTTGAGAAAAAAAACATAATATAAACAATAAACCAAAAAAAAATAAATTATTGAAAACATGTTTATGCTGCTCACATAATAAGCTGGTGATCATGCAAACACCACAGCAGGCGTGAGTTGGGGAACTGGCAGATAGTACTTTGCTCACTGAAAGCTAACTGCCTGTGTGATATGGTCGTGCCACATGGAATACTGCACAATGCTTAGTCCAGTCTCTGTCTTCTGAAGTCTGTGGACTCACGACAACCACAACCTCAGGAGCTGGGTCCTATTACTTCTGCCCAGGCTTCTGAGTTCCAGCCTTTCGAAACACTCATTTCCTTAGCTTCACTGAGAAAGCAGCTACTAAACTTCATATATTTAAAGTTTGATAAGTGTGGACAGACATCCACACACAATCACTGATACAAAGAGACCATGAACTGACTTATAAGCCAAAAGTTCTGCAACCCTTTGGCAACTTCTCTCCTGAGCCCCGCCTTACCATCTTCTAAGCAATGGATATTCCTGTCACTAGTGACTGGTTCGCATATTCCAGAATTGTATACAAATGTAATCCCATTTTCTTGTATCTGCCTCCTCTCATAACTCTTCTGTGTTACACCCACACCACGACAGAGATCAGACTTCATTCCCCGCCATGTTAGTAAGCAATAATCCAGACATAGGTGCATCATCTCTCTTTCTAGTTTGGGGCGGATAGTGATAACCCTACATGAACATTTACAAACAAAACTTTACATGGAAAATGCCTTCCTTCCCAATAAGGAAATAACTAATAACTAAGAAGAAAATTGCTTTGTCAGAAGTAACGGCACGTTTAACTTTATAAAGCTGCCATGATGTTTTCCAAAATGGCCGTACATTTTATGTTCCCAGCAGTCCTGGCTTGTCCACAACCCTCCCAAGCTTGGGTGCCAGCATTTTTAAGTGTTCACATTCTAGTAAGTGTGCAGTACTGAATCACTATGTTGTTTTGTTATTTTTAGACTTTAAGTTATATATTTGTGTGTGTGTGTGTGTGTGTGTGTGTATGTGTGTGTCCCTTGGAGGGGACAGTATGGGAACATGGGTATAGGTGACCACAGAGGTCAGAAGAAGACATCCGATACCTGGAGCTGGGGACTGTTGAGCCACTCCACATGGATGCCAGGAACCAAGCCTGCATCCTCTGCAAGAGCAGTACATATTCTTAACCAAGTTGCCACTCCAGCCCCTCTACTATGGCTTTAATGATGGTGACATTCTCTTCACACACTTATCTCCCATCTATGAATGGTCAAATACTTGTGTATTTGTATCAGCTTGTCTATTATCTAAATTAAAGATAGTGCAAAGTTTTAAATATATCCTGAGTATATTTGTAGATATCTGTGACTTATCTTTTTCATGCTCTAAATAATGTTTTTAGAATAAGCATTACATTTTCATTAAGTCCAAATTATTTTAATATAATATTCAAATATGTTACTCATGTTACAGAGGGGGACATTTGTTTCATTTTGCTTGAGGCATGGTCTCACTCTGTAGTTCAAGCTGACCTAGAACTCACCAGACAGACCAAGCTGGTCTTGAACCTGTAATAATCCTTTGGGTGCTGCCTGCTCAGCACTGAGATCCCTGGTATGTACCACAGAGCCTAGGTTATGAATCCTGCTTTTGGTGTCATCTGTAAGAAAACTTTGCTGATTTTAATAGCGCAAAGATTTCCCCCTATATGTTTGTAAATTTTAAGCTTTTAAGAGTATTAACATCTTTACCTTTGAGTTAATAATCTGTTATGTTATGAAGTTCTTCCATTTTGATTTATGTATGGACAGACACTCACTGGTTCTACAGCTTGAAAAAAATAGCCCCTCTTTTCGGTGAAATCTTTCTCCAAAAGTCTGCTCTCTAATTGGTCCTCATGGATACCAATTCTGTACTTTTTTGACTATCACAGGTTTTAATATAGTTAGAAATTAAGTAGTATCGGTTTTCCAGATTAGTTCTCTGTCAAAGTTGTTTTGATTCTTCTAGACTCCTCACATTTCCATAAGAATTTATTCAGATGGCCAATTTCCACAGGACACCCTTCTGAGAGTTCATCCCGATTACATGAAGCCATGGATTGTTTTTGGACAGAATGGATACATTAGCAATACTGCTTTATTATCTTTCTCTGACTTTCTCACCATAAGCATCTTAGCTACTTTTCTATTTCTGTAGAGACACTGTGACCAAAACAACTCATAAAAGAAAATGTTTATGGTGGCTCACAGTTGCTCATCATGGTGGGGAGCACGGCAGCAGGCAGGCATGGTGCTGGAACAATAATGGAGAGCTTATGTCTGACTCACAAGCAGGAGACAGAGATTAGAGAATTAATAGGGAGTGCCATGACCTCTTTGAAACCGTAAAGCCCACCCCAGCGACATACCTCCTCCAGCGAGTGAGTCCACACCTCCTAATCCTTCCCAAACAGCTCCAACAGGGGCCAAAGTACTCAAATACATGAGCCCACGGGGCCATTCTCTGTGTAGTTACTAAATCTACTGGGCTAAAAGTGTATCTATCAACTAGGCTTTTTAACCCTATTTATGAAAACAAATAAGCTTTAAGAAACCTTGTTACAAATGCATTTCTAAAGTCCTGAGCTATACAGCACAGAATCTGGTAGATTTTAGTAAATGCTTTAGTGTTTGAAAATAAATGGGTGCCTTTGTGGAAATCATTATTGTCTCCATTTCTATAAAAGCATTAGAGATACAATGGATACAGGGAAGAACAACAATGTTTATCTTTTGTAGCAATTGTTATGTATTTAGCCACATTTTGATTTAAAAAAAGTCACAAAGCATGCCTGTTAAATGTCTGTGTGTGCATACTCTCCCCGTGTGTGTGTGTGTGTGTGTGTGTGTGTGTGTGTGTGTGTGTGTGTGTCTGCCTTGCTCATGCTAGGCACATGTTCTAGCACTGAGCTATACCTCCAGTCCTTAACAGCAGGCCAGCTTCAACACTATCACTCGCTAAAATACTGACTGGAGAAGAAATGCAGACCTGAACCACATTTTCTTAGTGAGAAGGGGTCATCTTCTATTATTAATCTTCTGACATTTTCTCAAGAAGAGATTATTTCAAACACTTAAGCTGCTGCTCACAAGCTTGATTTATAGTAACAGTAAAGAACAAGGGATGAATGATATCACAGAAGGAGAAGTCAAAGATACTATGTAATTTATAAATGCAACAAATGTGCAGAACTGTGTTTGCTGCAAGCTCAAGAGAACAACAAAACTTCCAGGACAATCCATGAGAGGTGTGTGTGCGTGTGCATGTGTGTTATACTATATGTTATATAAATTATATTATAAACATATTATACACACACACACACACACACACACATATATATATATGAGGAAGAGGGTTTTGCAAGAGAGAGGGGATGATGGAGAAGCTTCACAGAGGTGTCTGCTGTGTTCTACAAAGAAAAAGGACCTGCTTTCTAAGGGAAGGAAACAATCAAAATAGATTCCAATGTCTGAAGGCTGTTTAAATATAAAATTCCCATAGACAAGCCTAATTTTTCACTTCACCTGGGCTAATTGGGAAGATATACAGAAATCATTTTGTAATAAAATGAATACTAAAAAAATCTTAGAAAAAATAGTCCTTAAATCCCTAGAGAAACTAAAACAAAGTCAGAGGCCAATGTCAGTGGAAAATTCAGTGTTAATAATGACTGACAGCAAAAGGCACAACGGACTCCCCTAGCCACTAAACCCTTCACACAATAGGACCCTCACACCACAGTCTCCTGATGTGTGTGCAACAGTTAGTGTTCAGTTATCCTT